GACATTCGCACACAATTGTCTAACCGCCTAGCAGCTATTGCTGTACTGTGGAGTACGAGTTAGATGATTGCCTCTCTACGACACCATGGGCGACCATATGGAAGTGAAACCTAATTATTCTATGAATTCGTAGCTTCCTATGACCTTTAGGTAACGCCATACATAGAGACACTGAAGCGACAACTGATTAACATTTCGCCTATGGGTATGGAGACAAACGAACACTCACTGACGTCGTGTCAGCGCCACACTTGGAATCCTCTTATTTTTTGTTGAGTCGTCAACTGTGATCGAATTAAGCAACCTTAGAATTGTCGTTGTTCAGCTTCAGGTTGGTCTACTAACTTCTGTGGGAACTGTGTCCCCCATGATCGTTGCAATGACATTCGCACACAATTGTCTAACCGCCTACCAGCCATTGCTGTACTGTGGAATACGAGTTAGATGGTTGCCTGTCTACGCCACCATGGTTAGGCCGCTGAATAAGCCACCATTAGGTAGCCGCCAGTGATCGCCATAGACCGCTACATGTGCTGGTTAGTATGTCTATCCACACTGGTTAAGTCTTAAGCTTTGGATAGTGTGGTAGCTAGCATCTCCTCCTTTGACAAGCATCACAATTTACCTATTGGTCGATTTCAGGTTGGAGACCAATCATCGAGGTTTACTCCAGCGGGGCATCAGGGCAGAACGGAAGGTGGTGCTCGACCACTTTCATTGGACTGTCTGTCGCGTATGCTGGCAGCTTCTAACCGAAGTCCCATTGGTTTACGTCCCATAACCAATGAGAGTGTCAAGGACGCCAAATCAGCGTTCTCCGCCTCGCTAACTTGAAAGTACCGCACGCTATTTCGAAAATGAACCACGCTAAAAGCTTGGTACAATACGCTAATATGCATGTACAAAGGTATAGTGTGTACTCAATCATGAATGTCCAACTGGAATTTTTAACGAATGCGAACAAGAAAAAAACAATTTACTACGGATAAAAGGGCCAAGGTTTGACAGATACCGTAAGATAGATTTTGCGAAGTATGTAGTTTAAATGAAGCAGTAGCACTAATCGGAAACTAGCATTTGTGAACTTACCATAGTATCCACCTTAACATACAAGTCAATCCGGATTTCGTGGTAGTTGGTGAGCAGAATTATTGTCTGCGTGGTAATGCGCAATCGACTGCATCCTTTCGGGCTCTGTTTAGAGATTTTTGGCGTAGCAACTACAATCGCACAGTGAAGTCAGAGGATCGCTTCGACGCAAAGGACTGCACACATGTATCCCATCAACCATGAGTTCCTCGCTGGTAAGCACTAAATGTGACACTGATGGCTTATTTGCTTTTCTGAACTTGTTGGGAGCATTGGCGTGGTTGAAAAGGGCGTGCTAGAGAGTAGCTCTCGCAAATAGGCCTTGAACTGTCCCCTGTCGGTTGCTGGTGTTTCCAGATCATAGATGTTAAAGTTTACTGTAATGTGGACATGGTTATAGGATGTAGCTGAGAATATGCGATGCTCGAGGTGTGGATGTGGATTTTATGTTGTTCTCCTAGCTGAGTGATTATTTGGCCGATGTTTCGTCGCCACACTAGGCAACATCATCCGTTCGGCTTCAGGCACCAGGTTCGCAGTGTCTCGTAGACGAATTCGACGTTCAAGTGTTTACTGATCGAGCCCTGCTTTGAATGTCCGGCTTCAATAAACTCACGTGCTTGCCAGCTTTGACCCTTCCGGGGATGTTGACGTGCTCCACGTAGAATTGACGATTCTCGGCATCAGTGTGCACGGACATCAGGGAGTACTGATCGTGGCGACTACAGGTTGGGCTGTATTCCTGTAGCCATATTCCATACTTTCTTCCAGTCTGTCCCACGTAGTATTAGTCAAAGTTACGGCAGCATATCATTTAAAGCACACTAGTGGTTTCCACCTTGTTAAGTTTATCTTTCACTATGGAGAGTTTACTATGAATTGTCCCCGTTGGTTGGTATGCAACTTTGACTTAGGAAGCTAAAAAATTCTCGCTGCTCTTTCGGAGATTCCGTTGAAATACGATAACGTGGCTCTCTTTTGAACTGCTCCATTGGTTGAGGTATGTTGTAGCTATATTTATGAAATCTCACACTATACAAAGCCGACATTAGTCTGTAATGCATTTCTGGAGTGCATTTGGGCGGTCGGAGAACTACAGCACACTTTGATTAAAGGAGATCAGTGACACGCGTTTGTGGATCGTCTATGAATTCATTGAGGTTTATATCACAGTAAACGAGCACTCTCTTCCCTACCCGTTTTGTCGTTCCAGAGCAGCTACCGTCCGGGTAGAGCGATCTCGACGACCGTTACCTCACACTTCAGCCACACAGTGGTGAGCATTATGATATTTCGAGACTGGGAAGCCTGGCTTTGACAGACTTTTACCAACTTACGAGTAAGGCTTTGTGCTTTAGTGTGCAAGCAGAGTAGTTTCTCGGTAACTAGTAGTGAGCTAGCGGATGCTTAAATAAGGATGGAAATTTCGCCGACCGTTTAGGGATCGGTCACTAGCCGCAATACTGAGGAGTCTTTGGTTGGAGTGCACTGTTACTCGTGGTTGTCCGGGTCCTGATGGTCTCCCGTATTTAGTCGCATTCCATCGGATGCTGCGGTTACTATTAGACCAATTCGTTTGCAGTGCTGTATGAGGGGAAGATTCACCAATGTGGTCATCTTCAGTAAGTGGCCAGTCACCAAAAGCCGTGCATCCCTTACTTGTAACCAAATTTCCGTAGGCAGCCTCTTACTGAATCTAGATCAGTTTGCCAACCTAAGTGTGTCCTTAGCTCTGACTGACCGTTCCACTTGTAGTTGGGTGAAACTGAGATTCTTTTCTAAAGCGAAACAATGATACTGTCGATTGGGAGTTCTTAGCGAATGTAACACCATGACTCCAGATCGTATGTCTCGCTTCATCAGCGGAGGATGTTTGAAACTCGGTAACCTGGTGAACAATAATTGTCCGTTTTCTCGTCAAATTTTTGAACTTTCTCACGGTTGCTTTATCTTTATGACCTTCGTTCCGAGGGAAGTCCAGGAGTATGCGCACCGTATGGGATGAATTAGGGAGCCGAATCAAAGACAGTAGAACGGCCTCTGTGTCGTCAGAAAAAGGTCGAGGTTCACCGTAGTGAACTGAATTCGGGTGACTTGGGACCCGTCTCAGTGTCGGAGAACCACCGGAAATGTCGTACCACAAATGGACTTCCAATGGCTAAGCTGGTCCATTAGCTTCCGCTTTATGATTCTAGAGTGCGATTCGGGAAAACTTGTGCACAGACCATCTAAAGCACTGTGTTTTCTTCCTTTGGTCACAGGTTTGGGAGTAGCAATTGCTATCACTTTAAATGATTTGGTTAATTTTGCAGGCTGCGTCACCCGCCTGTGGCTCGGTGCTGTTACCGAAGTCGGGGCTCACTCGGCGGAGTTTGTATGGGAGTAATCGATGCTTGTGTTGCTCGGCTTTCCTGTATGGTGAACGAACTCGAGCTCGGAGCTAACAGCAGTGCCTGCGACTAAATATAGGCTTTACTGTTGAAAGGAGTAGAGGAAGGCACGGCCAATGCTTTTTCCTTTTTCGTGGGAGAAGTGAGCCCGAGGATTTGGAAAAGTTGCGGAGTGTAGTTTAGGAACCCGACCCTCGTCTTCAGCCTAGAGGCGGAGCTTGTTTCGGTTGGTTGAGGTACGAGTGTGGACATATTTACCTCCGAGTGCGCGAGCTTAGTATTCACCAAATGCGCGATTGTCTCAGTCAACCAATCGCACTTCTTCATCAGCACACATAAACAGTGGACAACTGGAATTACTTGAAATTTTTGGACAAGACCAGAAGGCGTCAGCAGCCTTGTTTATCTGCCTCATCCCTTGGGCAGATTTTCTTTTACACTTGGGTTGCAACGACCTGGTGCGCTTTGCACATGTTATCCCAACCGTAAGGACTTCACCGCCTATATCTGAGCGTCTCAGATCGGATTGATGGCTAGCCTTCTCAGGTCACGTGTAGACTGTGACAGTCACTGCGATTTCCGGGGCCAACACGGACAATGTTTGGTGTCGGCGGCATGCCGGCAAGTCCGTAAAACCAGCGAAATGTGCGGGAAGCTGGAGATGAATGACGGGCAAACAATAGCTCATAAATCGTTTCATAGCTGTCTTAGACTACACATTAGATTAGTGAATCCGGATTCATTGGCCGGCCTAGAGATTACCCTAGCGGACAAGGTAACACAGGTAGTTAACTAAAAGCAGTGCGATAACGTGCAAGCTAACAGGGATATAACACCAAATATCTTCCATTGTCACTGACAGTGGCTAGGTGCTAGTTGATCACGTCCTCTCGCTAGACGATATATGCACAACATTTGAAAAAAGAAGAGGTTATTTATTTTATGTTACCCATAAGTAGCAGGATTTTAGTTGCAAAGTGTAAAGTATTCAACCCAGTAGTTCACATGCCACATAGCAAAGCCTAGTCCGGAAAAGCACCGGAGATATTTCGCCCTATTAGGGCACGTCAGTTAGCTTGTAATTAATACGATAAGTTTCTACGTGCCTGTTTGGGCACATAAGCTGCTAAATTATAGCTAGAATTGCTAGAACCATGGTCCGTAGGACATAATTTCATGCAAGTTGGCTCGGAGGATAAAACAAATTATTGCGAACCGCATAATGCTAAGCCGAATGTGTTGTCGGAAGATGTAGAGCAGTAACTGCACAAGGACGAAAAGCGCAAAATCGATGCGGCAGCACTGCAGATGTGGGACTCAGAGCTAACGGATGGATGCGAGGTTCCTGTATGTGTATCTCATTGTCAGTTTGAAACTTCTTGTCAGTTGTACATAGAATTATGCTAGGCAGACGCGACGAATGCGGTTAAATTCATGTATTCTGACGTAACGGACTATTCAGTATATGCGTCCAAACTCTAACTTTTCTCTGAAGTTACTGACCTATGTTTCCATTTACAGACTACTGCAACTGAATCTGCTTGGCATCAGTCGGACAACGGTAACTCAGTAACAAAAAATTCTGAAAACAATTTTGAAACGGTGAGTTTTTCTATAAGAATAAGTAGCCTACGGTTTGTAAGACTTATAACACGACTGGTATCCTATTTATTGCACATGCAAGCACTAACCAGTGATGCGCTATAAAATTAAAAATACTCTCATTTTTCTGAAAAGTGTTTTGTGCTTCTTCCAAGACGCTTCAAATACTTTAGTATTTCATTACACGAAAGTTGTCCCAACACGTCCAATTCTTGGTTACTTAAGCACGCCTTAATTATTAGCATCTTTGTAACTATGCGGCCATTGTAACTTCTATGGAATCCACTAGCATATTGAATAGGTCAATTAATAATATCATGAGGGAATTTCTGGAAAGAAATTATGCAAGTTTTAATAGCGAATGGGACGCACAGCGTAAACTTATTTTCGCTTGATGGAAATAAAGGTTTAACTTTGACAACCTTATCATATAGTTATCTCGATTCATTCAAGGGAGGCACATTGGTTATCTTGGATCATCGATTTGTAATGCTGGTAACGACTCAGCAATAGTATATCCACCAGATGACTGCATGGCGACAAAAGCATAAATTTCGTGGAGCAAAGCATCATTAAGTTGTCTGTTGCCCAAAAATAAAGCAGAACACTGCAGTACGTCCGACTGGACTGCTGGACACCTCTAAGCAGATTTCACTCACATTCTCAAAAAGTATATCAGAAGATGTCAAGTACAATGGAACAAACGAACAATGGTGTATTACGGGTAAAAAAGCAATGCTTAAAGAGTCCCGTGGGATGGAACTTATTGCTAAAGGTAAATTGCATGATAAAGTGGAAAGCGTTTTAGTCGACTCACCATAGACTAATGTAGGATAGCGGAGATGTTCGCGTATTAAAAGTGTAAATCCATAAATCCATTGGTTGGGGGTTTGGAAGGACACCGTTTGATTGCGTTTGGTAGCCGCAGAATAAAAAATCACAAAATGAAATGCAAATAAGACAATGCGTCATCAACTCGCTCTTTAAATATAGCAAGTTTGGGAGTAGAGAAGACATAATTAAGGAGGGTGTTCCAAGTCTGACACACGTATGGAAGGAAAGGAAATTTCTACGGCGTTCTAGCCAGCTATACGGTATTGTCAGTTTCAGAGGATGACCTGTTACGTTATTGTTGCGGTCCACTTCCAGCAGCGGATGACAAATGTGGTTTGCGTTCTTCAGAAACTGGTAAACCACTATGAGATCCCTCGTAAACGCCGATATCGACCACTGTACCTTCTTAGGGAATTTAGTCTAAGCTGATAGGACAGAAGAAAGAGGCCCCTAGCGTTCTTGGCTGCCGTTATTTGAGGCGTTTTGAGAGCAACAAGATCCTGTTTCTGCCAGGGCTGCCACCCCTGGATGGCAAATTCCGCGTGCGGTCACACGTAGACATTAAGCATCTGGGGAAAGATTGAGGGTTCAAACTGACCGAAGGCACTGCGAAGAAAGCCGAAGTGTTGATTGCCGGTTGTCGACGCCTTCTTTGCTTGTTTTGAACACCCGTGATCTTCCTGTACCAAGAGACTTTCTGCAAGGTATGGTCTCTAAGATTGTAAACGCTCACCGGCTGGTGATGCGGATGGACCACCTTGCAATTCGCTAGGTTGAACTGAAGTAGGTTCCTCGTTGACCAGTCATAGATGCGATCTAGGTCAACTTGCAGTAGATCGCGATTTTCATTGTTACTAATCGACCGCCATATCTTGAGATCATCGGCAAAAAGCAGGGAAGCTGAGGAGATAACCCTTGCCAAGTAGTTGATAAACACCAGAAATAAGCGCGGTCCCAGCACTGAACCTTGTGGAACACCACATTCTACCTTATTCGGGTTAGAGAGTGATCCCCTAACACCCACTTGAAGCTTCCGTTGGTATAGAAAGTTAGCAATCCAACCAAGAACAGGAACTCAGATTCCATAGCTCTGCAGCCTGTAAAGTAAGATGCGGTGATCCAGGCGGTCGGAAGGTTTGGAGAAGTCCTGAGAGACTTCGTTAACTCCGACCGCAACTTCGGCCAGTTCCGTCCAACTACCTCGTGCCATCAGCAGGTTGGTGGTGCATGACCGGTGTTGACGGAAGCCATGCTAATCCGGTGCCATGATTTTGTATTTTTTCAGGTAATCCGTTAGAGAAGCAGCGACGACCGCTTCCATCATGTTCGCTGGCACAGGATGAAGAATCACTGCGCGATAGTTTGCATGCACTGAACGACTCCCGGAGAACTATGATCGCGCAGGGATAGTAACTTCCTTAGCGCAATCGATGGGTTGAAAATTACAAGTGTAAACAATGGAGTCGATAATGTGTACGTGTAAAAGCGAAACAGAGCTACGCAGTTGTTATCACTGTCATCGCACTTTATGGATGGTACGCATCGCACTGTAACGGCAGTTTGTGTTCAGCTTTTAATACACACAACAAAAGGCGATTGGATAAGCGATATCATCATTAATAACTGTTGGAGTTTGATGGCCCTAATGAGTACAATGTTGGTGTGAGTTGGACAACCTGATGACTTGGTGGCCACTTAGCTGCTTACTGTTCGGTCTGTACAGTACAAAATTTAGCTTTTCCAATTGTCGCCGTGGCGAAAGTGCTATGGACTAGTTACGCCTAAACCATATGCTTCATTCACAGACAAAATGTAACAGCGCATGCTAATTCGTATTGACTTGGAGGTATACAGTTCATTTTTAAAACCAATTACTTCATTACAACTGTTAACCGGTATCTGGCGACTCTACATACAGCTTCACTGAACTGTTCATTCGCCTTTCACACGCGACATGAGCACTTGCATGTAGGTAGTAGGTCGGTAGCGTTCTCCCCGCACAATATCTTGATCTTGCTTTCCTAGTCCATTGAGATATCCTCTTCAGCTGTATTCGTCACAACTAATTTTTTAGTATCGTATTTATTTCCCACTATTTCTACTGGGCTGATGTCCCTGCGCGAATTCAACCCCCCCGGTGCGGACGGCATTCGCCCGAAGGCGTTGAAAGTTACTGCCATGAGTTTGGCACGACCATTAGCAATTTTCTTTCAACGATGTCTGAACGAGATGCACGTCCTTACCATGTGGTAGCACGGAATCATCACGCCTATCTACAAAAGTGGTAGCCGTGCTGTACCACCAAACTATCGCTCGATAACACTACTTCCTGTGATCTCCAAGGTTATGGAGTCCATCGTAGCGGAGGCTTTAATGGGATACCTGGAGAATAACAAAATTCTCGTTCCTAAACAGCATGGGTTTCTCCGAAATCACTCCTGTACACCTAATCTCTTGATGGCTCGTGCAAACTGAACGAAATCTGTGGACACCGGTGCATGAGTCGACGCGGCCTACTTGGATTTCTCAAAGGCATTCGACCGTATAGACCATCGCTTTCTCCTCCACAAACTCCAGAAATATGGAATCGGCGATCTTGTTCTGGGCTGAATAGGAGACTTTCTCCTGCAACGTCACCTGAGTGTGAGGGTTCGAAGCAACCTATCAGAATCCATCGAAGTTCAGTGCGGCGTACCTCAAGGCTCGGTACTTGGACCCCGCCTGTTCTTGGTTTTCGTAAATGATCTCGCGAGTGTGCTATCTTCTAACTGTGAGCTATTTGCTGATGACCTAAAGGTATGGCGCACTATAGCTGCAGTGGAGGATCAGACAGTTTTACAGGAGGACCTGGACAAAGCGTACACATGGTCCATCGAGAAGATGCTGCATTTCAACGTCAGAAAGTGCAAAGTTCTCAGTATACGGCACAAGAGTATGCACAACTACCGCCTAGGACCACAAATTCTACAGCGGACTTCTCACGAGTGCGATCTTGACGTGATAGTTCAAGATGACCTCGGTTGTTCGAGGAAGACTGAAAAGGCAGCTAAGAAAGCGAACCAGTACCTCGGCCTTCTTCGCAGATCCTTCGGGAAGTTTGACCCTTCGATCTTTCCAAAAATACTTAGTGCGTACGTGAGGCTGCACGCGAAATACGCTATGCAAGCGTGGCAACCCTGGCTCAAGCACCATCTCACTGCGCTCGATACTGCACAACGTAGGGCAACGAAGAGCGTCAGAGGTTTGACAAGCCTCCCCTACCCATTCAGGCTGAAAACCCTCAACTTATACAGTGGATGTTACCGGCGTCTAAGGGGCGATCTCATAATGGTGTACCAGATCCTGAGAGACCCCAACCACCTATGCCATTCCCTACTAATACTCAGTCAAAACACCTCGCTAAGAGGTCACCAGTTTAAGTTAGTCACGCAGTACAGCCGCCTGGAATCTCGGCGAAACTATTTCTCCCTTCGAGTGACACAGCCTTGGAACGCCCTACCGGAACATGTAATTAATGCACCCACCCTATCCCTTTTCAAAAACGCCTTGACGATACCCTGTCACATTTACACTACGTGCTATAGCTCATGACCACCCGATGCTGGCACTAATGCACAACAGACAGTGGATAGTGCCACAACCCTACTCGAGAATGAGTCACTCCAAACGCCTTGCACAAAATTTGATAAACGCTACTACTATAGAAACTGGATTTCTGTATCCTGTGGACCCAAGATGGTTGCACACGACTAAGCGTTGTCCTTGCTATCTTTTTTTATTTTTCTCACCTATGATGTGGACAACAACCACTCCCCTGTTGCTTGTGTGCGTACATTCTCATTTCATACTCCCTTTATACGACAGTGCAGTTACATCTGTAAGCGCCCGAACTGACGACTCCATTATCCCTTTGCTATCATTTTTTGTCACGCTATACACCCTACGGGACATGTCAAGCACCTGCTTTTCTACCCGTTATAAATCATTGTTCATTGTTCATTCAACATGATCAGTCGAATTAGACGAAAGCCAGAGAAGGTCTGTGCCCATCCGCATAATTCTACCTTTTCATTAAAATCGAGTAGTGTAAGAAGCACCGTGGCCAGCTGGCTTTAAAAAGCAGCCATTCTATATTCACTTGATTGAAACAGTTATGTTAAAATAAA